ATACTTTTAAAAACTTAAATCTTCAATAATAAATTTCGCGCCCCTTATACGAATTTCCTGACTTCGTCCCTGGTCAAAGGTGCTCTGCAATCTGTATTTAGCCGTTGGAAAAATGATTCGTTCACAAGAAAATCTCACACCAAAACGTTCTATTGTTATGGTGTTTATTTTAGAATTTGAAAAATAGTTATTAATTGTTGATTTTAATTGAATTAATAGTTGTTAAATATTAAATATTAAATATTCATTATATCAAAACAACTAATGAAAATGTTACATTTATAATACTATGTAATATTGCAAACTTACAATATGATATATTATTATATAATTAGTTCTTTTCATTTAAGATCCACTTATAATATTATATGTATTTACTTATTTAATACCACATCATATTTCATTAAATATTATATAAAATTATAAATTTATAATATTACATGATATTATAATTATAACATTACCAAACAACTAACCCACATAGCTCCTATAATGGTATATTTTATCAGTATTTTTTGTACTCAACAAAAATGCATAAATTAGTATGGCTTCATTTCTTATTTGATACCATATAACTGTTCGTGAGAATTTTGTTGTTAGCAATGTTGTCAACGAGTTATAGTCATTAATCATCTCAGTTTATCTCAGAATATTCTTCTAAAAGTAGTCTTTTTAGCTTATACGTTCTACTGGGTTCTATGCAACTATGTCCATTGATTCCCACTTGAAGTCTATGCTTCTTAGTGATATAGTCATAGTTATTACACTGCCCCTCTTGGTTGACTAGTTGAATCTTTTGAATTTTGCAAATGCATACGCAATCTACAAGATTCCGTTTACCTGAAGGAGCTGGCAGTCGTTTTTCATTCCTTTGCTTTCCAAAAGCACATTTTTTTTTGTTTGTTTTACCAAATTGCAAATTAAATGAAATGAATATTTTTTTGGTTAAACCCCTAATTTGGTCCCTGAACTATTATATGGACCTTAAATTTGGTCCATACTGTTTATCAATTTACCCTAAATCGATCATTCCATATAAAAACGAACTGACGTGTTTTGTTATTAATGTAACACGTGACCGTTAAGTTACTGTTTTTTGTCGTTAAATAACAGATACATCAATTTTTATTTTTAATGAACCGGTAGAAGTGGTTCAACCGTTCAACCTTTGCCAAAGAGGATGGCTGGCAAGGAGGAGCAACCGGTTCAAACTCTTGTCGAGATTGTGAAAGTTTTTTATGTGAGTGACGAAATCACTTGAACTACTAACACTCCACAAAAATACCTTTTCCAGTCTTTAAGATCGAGTGTGCGTAGGGCTCCACAAACTAATAAAGTTAGAATTAAACTTGCCCACAGCATTCAGAAGCTTACGATTAGTAGGAAATTTGAACTAAAATCTTCACTGACTTATTCCTTTTAAATAATAAATTTAAACTTCATTTTTAATTTCTTTTCTTTTTTTCCTGAATTTTAATAATAAATTTTTAGACTTTCACTCTAAAAATTTTGCCTTCGAAAATTGATAACAAGGAAACTTAACTACGCAACCTGTTAAGTTCCATAGGAGAGACATGGGAAAAGTTTTTCCCTTCCAAAATTGTATTGTATTGCATTGCAGTAAATAATAAAATACCCTTAAACTTTCAAGAGGGAAAACTTTTGTAGAAACACTAATCATGTTCACATTGCAATAGAATCCATCACACAAATATAGTGGGAATTGAGAACTTATTTCACTGGATTGGATCGATCTCTAGTGAAGCAATGATCTAATTGCAGCAACAGCATCGCCTTTGTGCTCACGCAGAGTTCTCTCTGCTACCTTTTTGTCCAACTATTTTTGGCAAAGAAAAAGGGGTAGTATTAGAATCGTTTGGCTGATACCAGTAAAAACATGCTAAAGAGTACAACTAATAATAGAAGGGAACCAACCTCTAGTTCATTTGCAATAATGTCTACATCAGCAGAATTGATCTTAACAGCAGCCAATTCCTTCTCTCTGTGAGGAACAAATTAATGTTTGCTTCACATAACTTGCCATTTATAAACATTCAAAGAAACGTTGAAATCTATCAAAAGCTTTGGGAGTTAGGAATTCAGGATACGGTATTGACATAAAAAGTTTAATCTTTTTCACCCACTAGGATGGCCACAAATTAATAACCAATTTGAATTATTAATTGTGAAACGAGAGTTTAGAAAATAATACACCAAACAATAGAATCTCATATTGCTATGGCCCTAGAATTTTGCAATGCCATCTTAGGACTTTGATCCCCAATACATGGCAAAGTAAAAGGGAAGCCTTCACTCTCACAGATGAAATAAAAAAAAACACCATCCAGTTACATGATGAGTTCATCAGTTAAAAGTTAAAACCAATGCATAAAGCAGAGTATCCACATTGAAATATGCTACTCCACAATGTATTTTGCTTTGCATGAAACCAGTGTGAACTAAAAACTAGCCCCTAATACCCATGTTCCAATAAATTTACTTTATTGATGCCATTTGTTGATTTGCCTCATAATATAAGTTGATATCTAGAATTCACTATAACATAGCTTTAAAGCGTTTTATGCAAAAACTTCCTTTGTTTTTATCAATTCAAGTCAAAACTCCACCAAAAGCTTAAACTTGAGACTCTAGAAGGAAAGGAACCACTATCTTTTACGTTAGATAGTGCCCTGTCATTCAAATTGACAAGCAACAATTCCAACTAACTCCCTCACAATAACTCATCTAGTGTGACTTCTTAATTAAGAAAGTGAGGAGATTAGTAAACTTAGCATAAAAGCATTCATCATTAAAAACAGGAGGAGATGGCTGAAAGCCATAATGTACAATTTTGCCAGCCAAATCAAAACAAGAATTCTGTTAATTAACCAACACTGATTGCTTACCTCAACAATTCAACATAACAAACTCTTCCACTTTCCAACATTTAAGCCAATATTTAAAAAAAAGAAAAAGAAAAAAAAAAGTCAACAAGAACTGAGAAAACTAAAAACATAAATCAGACCTCATTCTCATAGCATTCCAATCTGCTTCTTTTGATGCAGCTATGGATGCCATTGCCTGCAAATTCATACCCACAATCATGAACAATGAACAAATTAAAATTCATTCCAATTTCCAATTACATTAAAAATCCATCTCAGAAACTTGTCCTCTATTACTCACGAATAAGGAATTCAATCACAACAGCTTAAAAAAAATTCAAACTTTTACGTTCTTTTCTCTCTTCTTATACACGAATTCAATCAAGAATCATAGGAAGCATCTGAAATTGAGAGGAAGGAAATAAATAGTACCGTTTGGACACGGGAAGAATCGAGCTGGCGATCCTCGACATGGTCGGTAAGCTTGTCGAGGGCTTTGCTCTGTTGCTGTAAGTCCTTTGAGTCTACCACTCTATCTACGCCTTCACCTGCACCCTCCATTGATGCTGCTAAAACCCTAGGGTTATTAGTTCGGCTCTGAAACTCTGGAGCTCCTGTTCAATGCGGAAGATAGAAGAAATGGCAACGCCAGTGGTGCTGGGTCATTGGAGCCCATTAAAAAGGAAAGTATGAGCCCATATGTTGTATCCTTTTTGGCCCATTTCTAAATACAGGATACCTTCGAGTTAGAGCCTATTATGTTGTGAAATTGGGTCCATCTGTTGCTGCTTCGAAAGAAACAAAAAAATTGGGAGACACAATTCAAGAGGGTTGAGATTTGGTAGGAATAAGGTATAATTTTTTTAAAAAATTTTAATTTAAAATATGATATTTTTTTAATCATAAATATTATATTTAAAATTTTTTTAATAAAGGATATGATTTATATAATTTTATTAATTAAAATTATTATTTTTAAAAAAATTTTAATTAAGGGTTTAATAATGTACATCTTCTTTATTTGTAAGAAATTTTTTTAAAAAAGTAATGGTTGAGGTTTGGTTTGGTTTACCTATTTGAGTTGTTTACCGTTGATTGTGAATATCTAGCAATTGATAATGTATAGATTATAGACAATAACAAATATTATTTATTAGATATTCACTGTTAATTATAAATTGTTGGAAACTATTAAAATCAAATAAGGTAAAATTGCCAACTCACTATATGCTAATGAAGACTCGGCTTAAGTTTTAAGGGAGAGACGGTCTTTTTTTTTTTTTTTTTTGTAGAGATTTTAAATTCTTTGCTCTTAAATTGCAACCAAAAAGGAAAAAAAACTTATGAAATTAATTAATTATCTTTAATAAATCAATCCAACAGGAGAATTATTTTAAATAATTTTATAGACATTTTTACATTTCTATTATGCAGGTGATTTGGAAAACACTTATATATATATATATATATATATGGTTAATTATTAGCAATGTCGTGCCAGAGTTTCCCATATTGCTATATGTATGTCTTCTGGAGTTGATTCACTCATTATCTCATCTTACAATAGATACATATTTTTGTTACTGAAATTGAATTTTATGAAGCTGAATTCTTAGCGATGGATGCGCTGCTATGTATAGTTGGTACCTATTATGAAGCCAAGTTGATTGGATCTTTGACATTTTCTTTGTCCCAAATGCAATTTTACAGAAGCATGCCCCTTCCTCGGCTGAGGAGTTGAAAGTGGAATTCAACGGTGGGCAACATACAATAGGTTGGTGGTTGAGAGCTGCAAACGGCTTAATGGACGGGTTTTTTCTCATCATTTACCCTATAAAAGGGTCTGGTGGATTAACCTTGACATAACCAACTAGACATTAATTCCTTTTTGTTTCTGTTGCTTGGCTTAGCTGTTAATAGAAAGATGGCGAGAGTTTATGTAGGACTGCTAGCGGTGTTGTTTGTGACTGTTATGGGGGTAGCCGAATGCCGGAAAATGGAGGAGGATGGCATTGGAAACGGCATTGGAAGCGGCATTGGAAGCGGCATTGGAAGCGGTATTGGTGCCGGTGAAAGAGCAGGGGCTGGCGCTGGCGGAGGTGGTGATGTTGGTGGAGGTATTGGTGGTAGCATAGGTTTTAGTGGTAGCGTAGGTGGGAGTGCGGGTGCTGAAGGTGATGCAGGTGCTGGTGGTGATGCAGGAGCTGGAGCTGGAGCTGGAGCTGGAACAGGCGCTGGTAATCAAGGTGGAGCTGGAACACGTGGTGGAACTGGAGCAGGTGCGGGTACTGGAGCTGGAGCTGGAGCTGGAGCTGGTGGTGGTGGACGTGTTGGTGGTGAAACTACAATCCGAGGAGGTTTTTCTGAAGGAATTGGTGGGAATATCGGTGGCAGCGGTCGAGAAGGTGTTGGGGCCGGTGCAGGACATGGTGTTGGCGCCGGTGCTGGACAAGGGGTTGGCGGCGGATTTTAATTCCCGAGCTTCATTTTTCTTAGCAGCCTTGCTCAAAGTAAGCAAACACATGTACCAGAAGTGGTAACATTCACTTCTCAATTATCAATATCTATAATGAATAAAAGGCTGCAACATGCTCTCATTATCCCAAAAGAGAACCGCAATTTTTTTTTCCTTTTTTTGAGGTTGGCAATTACTACAGGGATCCAAGATGAGAATGTCGAAGGTGGGGCTCAAACCAGCGAGCCCCGCAACCATCACACCTAAGTGTTACAACTTGGTGGTGGTAACAGA